CATAGCATTGCTTTTAATTAAAAGGGTGATTCAGTGTATGAGGATCCCGCTATTACGTCACTTCAATCCCAACAAAACCAAGAGTTCAAAAATAATGAGTGAGTTATGTAGTGTTTAAGGATAGCTTTAATCCAATAAACTAGTTATTTCATCAACATCATCTTCTATAAGAAATTATACTTATGGTTGTATTTCTCATTGCCTCTTGGAGTAATAAAAGTGCAGGCCTACAGTCATAGACTTGTAACTTGGAATAACCATCATGTACAAGTATTTTTTAAAAAAAATCATTTCTAGACCACTATAGAGTACTATAACTCCGAGTCAAATTAAAACAATTATGCTTGTGATTGAATGGGCCATTGCTACTTCGACTGCTAAGTCTGGGGGTAGCAATCACATGGTTGTGGGTCCTAGACACCGTTTTGTGCAAATATTTTTCGAAAATTAGTTTTATATCTAGTCCATCATCACACCCACAATTACAGGGGCCAAGATGAGCACCTTTTTGTGCTTTTAGCAATATCTAGTAATCATAACTTGTAAATTACATTACACTTCCACTCATATTTAAGTGTGTGACTAATAACGTATTAAATTTTAAGTGCAATTATGCCATACGAGCTATGCTAAAGTGAGGCATGTACTATTTTTCTTCCCAACACTAAAGAGTAGCAGGAACTAAACTGGATCATCACCACCATCCTTTTTACCCCATCTTTGTATTTTTCATCGATAAAGATTAATACATTACCTTTTCATTCATAATCCGAAGCAATGTTTCTTGTTTTTTCGCTTCTTTTTCTTCGGAGAGAATGGGCGTCGAAGCAAAGTTACTGGTGTTGTTTCAACCTCTTGGTCGCAGACTTCACACATGTTATCTCCTAGCTCATTGAAGTGGTGAGATGCACATTTGTCATGGGCAAGACCAGTTTTGCAATTGCATTTTGTCTTGAGAACGTTTTCTTCGACAAATTTGTTGAAGCAAAATTTGCAAACTGCTAGTTCTTCAGGAATCTCTTCATCATCTTCTTCTGGAGAAAAAAATTGAGGTTATAACAGAAATAACAAGGACAAAAGAAAAACAAATGATTACATATAAATAGATAACAAGATTATATATAGACGGCTTTTATTTATCTATTTATAATCTAAAATTTGAATAGAACTGCAATAGTAAATATGACAAATTTTTTCACCCTACGATAAAAAAGTAAATGACCTGGGATAAAATTTTGTCACCCTAAAATTTCATTTGTCTTTTTTTTCCCTCTCGAGAGAGGTATGCTAACCTCTGAATAAAATACACTTTCAAGAAAATGTTGTCTGCACTAAATTTGTACACGGAATAATGTGACAATATCTCAATTATTGAATGTTTATTGAAGTTACTAGACCCGTTAATCCAACAACACACATTAATTTGATATAGGAAATTTGGTATAAATTTTAGCATGTGTTGCATTATTGACTTTTGCGTACACAATTATACCATCCATTTACTAAGATGCATATAGATTATTTTTGCATAATTATAAATATGCTCTTTTTTTTTGACAAATTTAATTTTATTAAAAATATTCTCAAGAAAAAAAATTACAACATGTTACATTAGTTGTGCAAAATATTGGTACTTGAGATTTATCATTGAAAGCTTAAAAGTGGAACCTCTAAAAGTTGTCTTAAGCTAGCGGGATTTTCTATGGTACCTACCATACTGATAGTTATGAGGCAAATGGTTCAATGTTACTTCTCAATATGGTTCAAAGTCGGAATGGATTGTTATGAAAAAGATTGGAATCAATCCCAAAAACTCCAAAAATATTAGTATCATCCTCAACTTTTTAAGATCAATCTTGATCAATTCATCTGAGTCGTAAGTTGAACCCAATGAAAAATAATTTTGGATGTGAAACAAAAGAATGATTTTCCAGTACTGCAAAACTCTCCCTAAGCTAAAATAGCAATAAGAATAAACAAGTTGAATGATGGATTCAGTATCTACCTTTAGGTTTCTTCTCACCCCCAGAAGCTCTTGGTCTAATGATGACAATAATTCCACTAACCTGTATAAAATCTAACAAGGATTTAACTTATGTATAGTTTGATAACATTTTTTAAGTATTTTTGTTTGAGTAAGAAAAAAACTTTCATCAAAATACATGATTACTATTTTGCAAAAATAATTCTACCAGAAATATGAAAAGATGAAATTATAAATAAAAAAAACTAGTGTAATGGTAGGAATAGAACTAATTAATGATTAAAATGATAGATGGTTTAAAAATATACATTGAAAAAATATAGATGCACTTATGAGAATAGTAAATAACAGAAATATGAAGACCAAATTCGATATGAAAAGCGACTATGAAGAAGGGTATCGTTATTTGTTTTATTCTCAATTCAACTCAACAAAAATGTTGTTTAATATTATTTAAAATTTAATTCACATATGAATTTTTTTTCTATTTGCACTAGCATCTATCTTAAAAAAAAATATGTACGTTTGAAGACTATTATGAAATAAATATACATTTTTAATATTGGATAACTAATTATATATTCCACATATAAATAAATTTATTGTATTTTTGAGTTGATAATACTGATGAAAAACTAAATTGAGACATTTAGACAAACAATCCGGAAATTCGATCAATTGGTTGAGAGACTTGACTCACCCACCTTGCAACACCCAGGGGGCGGAGCCAAGATTGTTTCACAGTGGGGCTCTAATTCAACTCAAATTCAATGTTTTATCCTTGAATTTTTAACAAACAACTTGTAAGATCAATGTATATTGATCAAGCAACCATGTTGTTTGAATTTTCAAGTGTTTGAATTAAATAAAATAGTTGAAAATCGCAAGCCTTTCACCTTGGGCAATGCAAAATTTCTTTAGGACTCGCGGATAGTCATAGTTGCTCATTTTGTCATGGCTTTGTTTGTGGCATTTTAACAAACATTTAATAGGCAACAATGGTTTGAGGATAAAACAACTACATCTTGTCTACATACATTTGTTAAGGACTCCATTTATTTTCTAAATTGTAGAAATAACCCTATATGTTTTATAAATTTTCAATGGGGCAATTTTAAACACTTCTGAAACTTTTCAAAATTCTACTAGGCCCCAAAAGTTGTTAAAATTGCAATGTGTACAGCTGCCCACATTGCAAATCCGCCCCTGGCAACACCTATATCTAATACATGTTATAATATATAACTTAAAATCAAATAGCCCCTTATGTAGATAAATCAATTGTATATTAGGTTGTCCTCGACCTATTATTATAACCTAGATCCGTTTGCTACGAACACGTTATGTATGACTGTTGGAATGACCATCGCAGATGTAACAAAGAAATTCGAAGGTTAATGTAGGTGAATATGGTAGTGTAAGTCTTGGAATTCATCATCTAGCCAGGTAGAAATCAACCAACTTACACTGAGCTCCTTTGTATCACAATTCCCTCCCCCATTGGACCTTGTAAATGAAGGTGATACTCCGACCTGCTGCTGAACCTAGAGATACAGAAAGAAATATTAATGCAATTTCTTTTAGTGAAAATTAGAGTTTGTGTCTTATTAAAGTGAGATTTTTCCATTTTTCTTTCCGAAAGATGTCTTGATTCCCACTTTGTATCCCAAAAAATTATTTTTTCCACATTACACCCTGAATGTTATAAATTGGTTCCAATATGGCCCTCGGACTAACATCCGTTTCAAATTTCGGTAAACTAGTCACCCAGAGATATGGATGACTAGTTTACATTTTTATCCAAGAACATCACATACAGGTGGCAAGTGCATTAATTTTTAACAGAATTTGAAACGGATGTTAGTTCGAAAGCCACATTAGAATCAATTTATGACATTCGAGGTGTAATATGAAAAAAATAATCTTTCAGTGTATGAAGTGAGAATCAAGAGATTTTTGTGGGGTGTAAAATGCAAAAAACCCTAATAAACTTTGTCTTTTATCATCATGTATATTTTGGAATTGAGTCAAGATTTTATAGGAGGGCCAAAAATGACAAAATTAGGAATGTTATTCAACAAGTCATTGTCATTGTTAAATTTATACTTATATGAAATTTATCCAAAATCAACTTTAACATGATATTATCTACGTCCTATAGTTAGGTCATTAAGCCTTCTAATACAATAGATTTTTTTTTTGAACAGTTTTAATACAATATATGAAATAAGCTATATACACATGCACTTTTAAAAATCTTAGAGGGGGGAGAAAATATAATGCGGAGGGAGAGAGAGAGAGAGAAAGAGAGGAGATTAATGTATTATGTTCATTGAAAATAGAGAATCAATAAACATTAAGGATGCATTTGGTAATGTTTTTATTTTCGTGTTTTTTAAAAAAATAAAAGATATAAACAATTTTTATTTTTTCTGTGGTAAAATTTGAAAACAAAAAACATGTTTGATAATTATTTATATTTATCAAATTATAAAAATAAAAATAAAAAACATATTTGATAACCTCTTCATCCCGATGGAATCAAGAGAGAGGTATATATTTGAGGCCATTTATTTTCAACTTTGTAACCATGAACCCCAAAATCTGCTGCTGCAGCTGGAACCAAATGCAGCACATGCCTTATTTCTTGACTAATCACAACAGATCACCCACAAGATGTTTCGGACTGGAAGATCAACCAAAAGAGGAGGATGGAGAAAGGGAGGGGGAATAGATCAGGAGGAAGCAAACAAGAAATAAATATGAAAATGCAAGGAAGTACAAAATAACAACATAATTTAAAAGAAAGTCTAAATCATAGAGAAATACTTTAAAAGAAAATAACAACAATTGTTCCTTGCTTATTCTTTTTATTAATTATTTGAAGCAATCTTAGAGAAATACTTTTAAACAAAAGTCTAAATCAGAGTTATTACTATCTACCAAAAAACAAAAGAAGCGATAATGAATTTTTAGGTATTATATATAATTTAAAAAATTTATAATTATTGCTCACCCTATACTTCCCAGGTGTGATTCGGATTTGGCGAGCCCTTTCAACCGGGGATAAGGACGCACCATTGGTGGCTTCAGCAATAGTCACGGGTGTGTTTTCTATTTTCTAGCAAATAAGGAAAACCAAGTTTAAGTGGAGAAAATGCAAAAAACCCTAAGCTAAAATAGCAATAAGAATAAACAAGTTAAATGATGGATTCAGTACCTACCTATAGGTTTCTTCTCACCCTTAGAAGCTCTTGGTATAATGATGACAATATTTCCACCAACATGTATAAAATCTAACATGGATTCAACTTATGTATAGTTTGATAACATTTTCTAAGTATTTTTGTTTGAGTAAGAAAAACAATTTCATCAAAATACATGACTACTATTTTGCAAAAATAATTCTACCAGAAATATGAAAAGATGAAATTATAAATAAAAAAACTAGTGTAATGGTAGGAATAGAACTAATTGATGATTAAAATGATAACTGTCTAAGATGGTTTAAAAATATACATTGAAAAACAATAGATGCACCTATTTTTCGATATGAAAAGTGAAAAAATGTTGTTTAATATTATTTAAAATTTAATTCACATATGATTTTTTTTTTCTATTTGCACTAGCATCTATCTTAAAAAAAAAATATGTACGTTTGAAGACTATTATGAAATAAATATACATTTTTAATATTGGATAACTAATTATATATTCCACATATAAATAAATTTATTGTATTTTTGAGTTGATAATACTGATGAACAACTACCTAGAAAGCATTATAATTATAATTATAATACATGTCTAAAGCCTTTTTTTTTTTTTTAATGAAAGCCTAGTCAATAATGGTTTGTTGCAAGCTGGGTTAATTTTATTTACTTAAATATTAGAGTTCTACATTTGTTTGTAAAATTATCATTATTTTGAAAATACTTTTTTTTGAAAAAAAAATGATAATTTAGTAAATAAGTTTTAAACTATCACATTTCATAAATAAGTTTCAAAACTACGATAATTGAATAATTAATTGTTCTACACATCCTCCCACATGTCATACAAACTTCCGTACATGTAGGTTAACAAACTGAATTGAAACAATAAGCAAATTGATTGCAGCTAAATTGAGACATTTAGACAAACAATCCGGAAATTCAATCAATTGGTTGAGAGACTTGACTCACCAACTTTGCAACACCCAGGGGGCGGAGCCAAGATTGTTTCACAGTGGGGCTCTAATTCAACTCAAATTCAATGTTTTATCCTTGAATTTTTAACAAACAACTTGTAAGATCAATGTATATTGATCAAGCAACCATGTTGTTTGAATTTTCAAGTGTTTGAATTAAATAAAATAGTTGAAAATCACAAGCCTTTGACCATGAGCAATGCAAAATTTCCTTAGGACTCGCGGATTGTCATAGTTACTTGCTCATTTTGTCATGGCTTTGTTTGTGGCATTTTAACAAACATTTAATAGGCAACAATGGTTTGAGGATAAAACAACTACATCTTGTCTACATACATTTGTTAAGGACTCCATTTATTTTCTAAATTGTAGAAATAACCCTATATGTTTTATAAATTTTCAATGGGGCAATTTTAAACACTTCTGAAACTTTTCAAAATTCTACTAGGCCCCAAAAGTTGTTAAAATTGCAATGTGGACAGCTGCCCACATTGCAAATCCGCCCCTGGCAACACCTATATCTAATACATGTTATAATATATAACTTAAAATCAAATAGCCCCTTATGTAGATAAATCAATTGTATATTAGGTAGTCCTCGACCTATTATTATAACCTAGATCCGTTTGCTACGAACACGTTATGTATGACTGTTGGAATGACCATCGCAGATGTAACAAAGAAATTCGAAGGTTAATGTAGGTGAATATGGTAGTGTAAGTCTTGGAATTCATCATCTAGCCAGGTAGAAATCAACCAACTTACACTGAGCTCCTTTGTATCACAATTCCCTCCCCCATTGGACCTTGTAAATGAAGGTGATACTCCGGCCTGCTGCTGAACCTAGAGATACAGAAAGAAATATTAATGCAATTTCTTTTAGTGAAAATTAGAGTTTGTGTCTTATTAAAGTGAGATTTTTCCATTTTTCTTTCCGAAAGATGTCTTGATTCCCACTTTGTATCCCAAAAAATTATTTTTTCCACATTACACCCTGAATGTCATAAATTAGTTCCAATATGGCCCTCGGACTAACATCCGTTTCAAATTTCGGTAAACTAGTCACCCAGGGATATGGATGACTAGTTTACATTTTTATCCAAGAACATCACATACATGTGGCAAGTGCATTAATTTTTAACAGAATTTGAAACGGATGTTAGTTCGAAAGTCACATTAGAATCAATTTATGACATTCGAGCTGTAATATGAAAAAAATAATCTTTCAGTGTATGAAGTGAGAATCAAGAGATTTTTGTGGGGTGTAAAATGCAAAAAACCCTAATAAACTTTGTCTTTTATCATCATGTATATTTTGGAATTGAGTCAAGATTTTATAGGAGGGCCAATAATGACAAAATTAGGAATGTTATTCAACAAGTCATTGTCATTGTTAAATTTATACTTATATGAAATTTATCCAAAATCAACTTTAACATGATATTATCTACGTCCTATAGTTAGGTCATTAAGCCTTCTAATACAATAGATTTTTTTTTTTTGAACAGTTTTAATACAATATATGAAATAAGCTATATACACACGCACTTTTAAAAATCTTAGAGGGGGGAGAAAATATAATGCGGAGGGAGAGAGAGAGAGAAAGAGAGGAGATTAATGTATTATGTTCATTGAAAATAGAGAATCAATAAACATTAAGGATGCATTTGGTAATGTTTTTATTTTCGTGTTTTTTAAAAAAATAAAAGATATAAACAATTTTTATTTTTTTCTGTGGTAAAATTTGAAAACAAAAAACATGTTTGATAATTATTTATATTTATCAAATTATAAAAATAAAAATAAAAAACATATTTGATAACCTCTTCATCCCGATGGAATCAAGAGAGAGGTATATATTTGAGGCCATTTATTTTCAACTTTGTAACCATGAACCCCAAAATCTGCTGCTGCAGCTGGAACCAAATGCAGCACATGCCTTATTTCTTGACTAATCACAACAGATCACCCACAAGATGTTTCGGACTGGAAGATCAACCAAAAGAGGAGGATGGAGAAAGGGAGGGGGAATAGATCAGGAGGAAGCAAACAAGAAATAAATATGAAAATGCAAGGAAGTACAAAATAACAACATAATTTAAAAGAAAGTCTAAATCATAGAGAAATACTTTAAAAGAAAATAACAACAATTGTTCCTTGCTTATTCTTTTTATTAATTATTTGAAGCAATCTTAGAGAAATACTTTTAAAAAAAAGTCTAAATCAGAGTTATTTCTATCTACCAATAAACAAAAGAAGCGATAATGAATTTTTAGGGATTATATATAATTTAAAAAATTTATAATTATTGCTCACTATATACTCCCCAGTTGTGATTTGGATTAGGCGAGCCCATTCATCCGAGGATAAGGAATCAGCATTGGTGGCTTCAGCAGTAGTCACAGGTGTGTTTTCTATTTTCTAGCAAATAAGGAAAATCAAGTATAAGTGGAGAAAATGGAAGGAGAGTCGTTTGAGAGAAAGAGAGAGAGATTAGAAAAACAAACCTGCGGGGAGGAATTTCCATCGACAATCTCAACCGGCGAAGGCGATGAGGAATCAGCACTGGTGGATTTAGCAGTAGTCACTGGGTTGCATTCCATTTTTCCTTGGGAATAATCTGAAGAGAAAATCACAAAATGGTATATGACGGTGGCAGAGAAGATGAGATTGTCTACTAACTTAAATATAAAAATAATTTATAGATCTACAATGTGGAAAGAGGTAGAAGATGCTATGAAATTTCCATCTAAACCCAGAAGTTTCTGAGAAATGGAGATTTGAGAGATGAGGAATCACCACTGGTGGCTTTAGCAACAATCACTGGCTTGCTTTCCATTTTTTCCTTTCTGATCTGAAGAGAATATTGCAATTCCCGTGCCGGAGGAGATGAGAATATTGTCTACTTAAATATAAAAATAATTGTCCACAACTTCCTCACCACTGGTGGCTTTATTATCATTTCTCAACGACCGCCCCAACTCAACTTGGATTAAAAAACAAAAAACAACTACGAATACATTAATGATATTCGTAATGGGAATTAACAGTTTGCTTATTTTATTATTCATTCTGAAAATCACAAATAAAATGTAGATTGTAGGCAAAAGCACTGGAATTGTGTTCATCGTAGAGGGAGAACCATTTGATGTTTGAGTGTGGGGAAGTTGTGGGAATAATTTATGATTGGCATGTATAGGTATGGGAGGGTGAAAATAATATATTTTATTTTCACTCTCCCATACCTACACCGACGCGACGGGAACATTGCACATTATTACAAGTAACTTATTCTAAAATATATTTTTCTATAAATTGAATATTGTTTTCATGACAGACACAGCAGGGCAGCCATGGGATGGGGCATTTGACTTTCTACGAAGCTCCCCTCGTGCTCTGACTATGACAATACTTGAAACCTCTCCCGTCTCTCTAATATTTGTCCCGGGTAATTCGTGCACGAAGATGCAGCGTAATATAAGTGAGAAGTGATACATTTAAAAAGGGAGGAATTTTTTGTAAATGATTTTAAAAAAGATGTTAGTAGTCGTTAAATGAGTCTATGGACTTATTGAAATCTGTTAAATTTTATATTATAAATTTGACACAAATAAAAGTAATATTGTATCATTTTTAATCTTTTTACAAATTTTATATTTTACTCATTTTTGACTATATATTCCATAATTTTTGAATCAAATGATGCTCCAACAAATCATACAAATACTCTAGGGAATCAATTTTAGTTTTAAGAGATTTGGTATAGACTTTTTTTTTGGTTCTAATACCTAATTTGTTTGACCCAATTAATTTTATTTTTCATAAATTATGACAGTGGACCCAATTAAGAATATTCAAAAAAAAATATTTAAAACAATTATAACAAAAAAAAATTCAAGGTGAAGGTAAAATTCAATCTATAATATAAAAATTCTGCCCCCCCCCCCCCCCCCAGCCACTACCAAAGAGTGAAGAGTGAAGAGTGAAGATTGAGAAGGGAAGGTAAAATTCAATCTAAATGGTTTTGAAAGAAATGTTGGTGGCCGTTGAATGAGTTTATTTGAAACCGTTGGATGAACTTATTGAAGTTTTTCTTGTTTTATATAATAGATATATTAACGAAATATGATAGAATTGACTTAAAAAAATATTAATTTATATACATATAATCAAAATCAAATATTAATTTATATACATATAATCAAATCGAGTCAAATCTAATATAAACTAAAAATCTAATTTATCAAAAAAACATATATCCAAAATATTTTTTATCAAAAAAAGATCTACAAATATCATTCACCAAGGTTCAAATTATTGTAAATAAATTAATCCCTAGTTGAGTCTATTTGAAACTGTCGAATGAACTTATTGAAGTCTACCCTATTTTATATTTATAGATTTGACACAAATAAAATGAATATTCTATAATTTTTAATCTTCTTACAAATTTTATATTTTACTAATTTTTGACTATATATTCCATAATTTTTGAACTAAATGAGGCTCCAACAAATCATACAAATATTTTAAGGAATCAATTTTAGTTTTAAGAGATTTGGTATAGACTTTTTTTTTTGTTCTAATACCCAACTTGTTTGACCTAATTAAATTTATTTTTCATAAATCATTACAATAAGCCCAATTAAGAATATATGAAACATATATAACTAAAAAAATATTCAGGGTGGCTCTAAGCCTATCCTCCTTCTGCCACTTCCAGAGAGAGAAAGTGAGAAGAAGAAGATAAAATTTAATTGAATGATTTTGAGAGAGATGTTGGTGGTCGTTTGATGAGTTTATTTGAGACCGTTAGGTGAACTTACTGAAGTATTTTTTGTTTTATATACATGTAATCAAAATCGAACATTAATTTATATAAATGTAATCAAAATCGAGTCAAATCTATTATAAACTAAAAATCTAATATATCAAAAAATATATCACCAAAATATTTTCTATCAAAAGAAAAAATTCAACAAATATCATTTATAAAATATTATTTTTTTAATTAGCACAAGTTATTACAAAATTATTAATTTATAAGAATATATTAGCATTGAGTTTTCTTAAGAGATAAAAAAAATTAGTCTTGAACTTTTGATTCAATATATGTGTAATACATGTTCGTTTGAGATAATTAATTAGATAAATAAAATTAAAATTAATTATATTCAGTATAATTGTGTTAAACAGCGCCCTTGTTTTTTTTATCGGTTAAGTTGATGAGTTTTTTTTAATCAAAATGTTATCATTGTATCTTATAAAAATTCAAAATGTTACACTACACAGATGATATTAATGACAAATTTGACTCATTTAATAATTATATCAAAAAAAATCTTGTGTTCCAAGATTAGTCATAATTATTGATCGGTTGGGAGGAAAATATTAAAGGAAGAAAATGGTAATCATTGACCTGTTGGGAGAGAAATATTGAGGAAAAAAAAATTAATTTTTTGACCGTTTGATGAATGAATTTGAGACCTTATGATGGGTTTGTTGAAACCGTCTTATTTTATATTATAATAATTATATATATATATATATTGTAAAATGTCTCAACGCCCTCTAGGGGTGTCCATGGGCCAGGGCGGGCTTCGGGTAGTGGTAGGCTACTCGCAGCCCAACTCGTGAATCTATTGGGCGAGCCTGTGTTGCGAGCTTTTTTATATACATCTTTATTTAAAAATAATGAATATTTTTGTCACTTAATATTTATGTAAATTATATTTTTGAATCAAAAATAAAGTCAAAATAGATAAAAATAAAATAATGAACTACATCTAATAGAATGAATAAATCTCAACTAGGTTGACACCTACTAACTTATCTATCATTTGTATTATTCTATCATTTAAAACTTATATGTTTAATACATGAAAAATAAAATAATACATTATTTATAATATCTAAATTTTTAAAACCTCAAATTTCGATATTGAGAGACTTATTTCAAAATTTCAAATTTAATGGTCTAAAAGTATAACTTTTTTTTCAAAAAAAATGTAGGATATGGTAGGCTGGGTTGGGCTTGCGGGCGGGCTCTTGGGCCGGGCTTCAGGCTGGGTAATGGGTTTAGAGGCAAACCCAAGCCCTTTTTAAAGGATATTGGGCTCGGACTCGGACTCGGACTCGGGCGGACCAACTATCGAATTTCGGGCCTATTTTTTTCGGACAGGATAACGGGACCCGTGGATAACCCGGCTCATAGACACCCCTAACGCCCACCCAAAAAAAAAAAAATACTAAGCCCACTCAAAATAATTAAAAAAAAAAAAGGCAAGGCCTATCAGGCCACCACCCATTTCTTGTGCACAACAACGTACGTGCCATGTGGCTCCCACTCACCTGTTTTTTTTCAACGATTAAGAGTATAAGTCAATTTACGTGCATATCAATTAATCGTCTTCTTGATTCAGTCAAAGTCAGATCATCTATATCGAAACTAAGATATATTCATGAGGGATAAATCTCTCATGAAACTACTTCTATATTTCAATCAACCAATGAATTATGACTTAATTTCATTATTCCATTGCTAAGATTCATCCAGTTGAAGTAACTAATAACTTCAAATTGCAATAAAATAATAATATTATTAAATCATCAAAACTACTTATATATTTCTTTTTTAGTTTCTATTCACAGGGTCTTTGTGAATCCATCTGACTTTCGTTCTTCCATTTCTTTGTTCCGAATCATTTTTTGAATTCTTCAATCTTTTTTTTGATTTCATCCGTTTATTCATTCAACTCATAGTCATAGACGAGATATAAGGACTTCTATTGGAATCCGCATCCAAATTCACAGTAGTAAGACAAATTAGATATATATAAAACTAGTCAATATCTAATATTACATATAAATGTATTTGTTCCATAACGTAAACCAACTATTGATTCATCTTAGATTCAATCGGATTCGAGAATCATTTATCGAAACTTCCACAAGAATTGAGTTATATTCATTCAATTACATATACCTAGTTCGACCCTCTGTAAATTCTTCTCTTCCTTTCTTTTTCTTTATCATTCTCCCACATGGATACAGTCTAAATGGACAAATTGATTAGACTGAATCGTTCCATAGAAATAACATTATTTGATTGATCTCAGTTCATCCCACTTATTATTTATTAATCTTTTTTTTGGCCAATCTGGGAATCGTTCTATAGAACATCATTTTTTATTTAATCACACATCGTAAACGTTTACCACAAGAATTCTTATTCAAATTATGACTCCTAATATTTATATTTAATATTGGGATTGGCTGACCAATATAAAATGAATATTCATTGAGGGGGATCCTAAAAAATTATCAAAATTTAAACTTATGACGTCTTTACCTCAAGAATTATCAAAATTTAAACTTATGACACTTTTACGGCTTATCCTTATTACCACTCGAGTTGTTCTTTAAGGATAGCTCCCACTCACCTTCCTCTTCTCTTTTCTCCCTCTCCCTCTATCTCAAATGCTCAGCGACAAACAACCAACCTTTTCTCTCCCGGCCTCTCTTTTTATCTCCGTCTTCTTTGTCGTGGCACCCACCACTGACAACAGTGACCCACATACATTTCTTCTAGCCTTCCTGAATTCCAAGTAAACTCTCCTCTCTCTCTCTCTCTCTCTCTCTCTCTCTCTCTCTCTCTCTCTCTCTCGACGCAAACAGAGCACCACAGTGCATACACACGCACTCAGTTGCACAACACACATCCACACACAGCCCACTGCACTCAACACACACACACATCTACTACACAAAATAAATTGGTATTTTTGT